GGAATCGGATTAAATTTGGTAAAGTTATGGACTCTCGAAGTCCAATTTTGGGTCACTCTATTACAAGTCATCGGAAAATTAGAAATAACTGACATGAAAATGGGTCAAAAATTTGATCAACGTTAAATTGAAAATGTTGAATGCAGATTTTTAGAGGATCGAATCACAAGTCTTTAGAGGTATGCCACTTTGGAATCGGATTAAATTTGGTAAAGTTATGGACTCTCGAAATCCAATTTTGGGTCACTCTATTACAAGTCATCGGAAAACTAGAAATAACTAACATGAAAATGGGTCAAAAATTTGATCAACGTTAAATGGAAAATTTTGAATGCAGATTTTTAGAGGATCGAATCACAAGTCTTTAGAGGTATGCCACTTTGGAATCGGATTAAATTTGGTAAAGTTATGGACTCTCGAAGTCCAATTTTGGGTCACTCTATTACAAGTCATCGGAAAACTAGAAATAACTAACATGAAAATGGGTCAAAAATTTGATCAATGTTAAATTGAAAATGTTGAATGCAGATTTTTAGAGGATCGAATCACAAGTCTTTAGAGGTATGCCACTTTGGAATCGGATTAAATTTGGTAAAGTTATGTACTCTCGAAGTCCAATTTTGTGTCACTCTATTCCAAGTCATCGGAAAATTAGAAATAACTGATATGAAAATGGGTCAAAAATTTGATCAACGTTAAATTGAAAATTTTGAATGCAGATTTTTAGAGGATCGAATCACAAGTCTTTAGAGGTATGCCACTTTGGAATCGGATTAAATTTGGTAAAGTTATGGACTCTCGAAGTCCAATTTTGGGTCACTCTATTCCAAGTCATCGGAAAATTAGAAATAACTGATATGAAAATGGGTCAAAAATTTGATCAACGTTAAATTGAAAATTTTGAATGCAGATTTTTAGAGGATCGAATCACAAGTCTTTAGAGGTATGCCACTTTGGAATCGGATTAAATTTGGTAAAGTTATGGACTCTCGAAGTCCAATTTTGGGTCACTCTATTACAAGTCATCGGAAAACTAGAAATAACTAACATGAAAATGGGTCAAAAATTTGATCAACGTTAAATTGAAAATTTTGAATGCAGATTTTTAGAGGATCGAATCACAAGTCTTTAGAGGTATGCCACTTCGGAATCGGATTAAATTTGGTAAAGTTATGGACTCTCGAAGTCCAATTTTGGGTCACTCTATTACAAGTCATCGGAAAATTAGAAATAACTGACATGAAAATGGGTCAAAAATTTGATCAACGTTAAATTGAAAATGTTGAATGCAGATTTTTAGAGGATCGAATCACAAGTCTTTAGAGGTATGCCACTTTGGAATCGGATTAAATTTGGTAAAGTTATGGACTCTCGAAGTCCAATTTTGGGTCACTCTATTACAAGTCATCGGAAAATTAGAAATAACTGACATGAAAATGGGTCAAAAATTTGATCAACGTTAAATTGAAAATGTTGAATGCAGATTTTTAGAGGATCGAATCACAAGTCTTTAGAGGTATGCCACTTTGGAATCGGATTAAATTTGGTAAAGTTATGGACTCTCGAAGTCCAATTTTGGGTCACTCTATTCCAAGTCATCGGAAAATTAGAAATAACTAACATGAAAATGGGTCAAAAATTTGATCAACGTTAAATGGAAAATTTTGAATGCAGATTTTTAGAGGATCGAATCACAAGTCTTTAGAGGTATGCCACTTTGGAATCGGATTAAATTTGGTAAAGTTATGGACTCTCGAAGTCCAATTTTGGGTCACTCTATTACAAGTCATCGGAAAACTAGAAATAACTAACATGAAAATGGGTCAAAAATTTGATCAATGTTAAATTGAAAATGTTGAATGCAGATTTTTAGAGGATCGAATCACAAGTCTTTAGAGGTATGCCACTTTGGAATCGGATTAAATTTGGTAAAGTTATGTACTCTCGAAGTCCAATTTTGTGTCACTCTATTCCAAGTCATCGGAAAATTAGAAATAACTGATATGAAAATGGGTCAAAAATTTGATCAACGTTAAATTGAAAATTTTGAATGCAGATTTTTAGAGGATCGAATCACAAGTCTTTAGAGGTATGCCACTTTGGAATCGGATTAAATTTGGTAAAGTTATGGACTCTCGAAGTCCAATTTTGGGTCACTCTATTCCAAGTCATCGGAAAATTAGAAATAACTGATATGAAAATGGGTCAAAAATTTGATCAACGTTAAATTGAAAATTTTGAATGCAGATTTTTAGAGGATCGAATCACAAGTCTTTAGAGGTATGCCACTTTGGAATCGGATTAAATTTGGTAAAGTTATGGACTCTCGAAGTCCAATTTTGGGTCACTCTATTACAAGTCATCGGAAAACTAGAAATAACTAACATGAAAATGGGTCAAAAATTTGATCAACGTTAAATTGAAAATTTTGAATGCAGATTTTTAGAGGATCGAATCACAAGTCTTTAGAGGTATGCCACTTCGGAATCGGATTAAATTTGGTAAAGTTATGGACTCTCGAAGTCCAATTTTGGGTCACTCTATTACAAGTCATCGGAAAATTAGAAATAACTGACATGAAAATGGGTCAAAAATTTGATCAACGTTAAATTGAAAATGTTGAATGCAGATTTTTAGAGGATCGAATCACAAGTCTTTAGAGGTATGCCACTTTGGAATCGGATTAAATTTGGTAAAGTTATGGACTCTCGAAGTCCAATTTTGGGTCACTCTATTACAAGTCATCGGAAAATTAGAAATAACTGACATGAAAATGGGTCAAAAATTTGATCAACGTTAAATTGAAAATGTTGAATGCAGATTTTTAGAGGATCGAATCACAAGTCTTTAGAGGTATGCCACTTTGGAATCGGATTAAATTTGGTAAAGTTATGGACTCTCGAAGTCCAATTTTGGGTCACTCTATTCCAAGTCATCGGAAAATTAGAAATAACTAACATGAAAATGGGTCAAAAATTTGATCAACGTTAAATGGAAAATTTTGAATGCAGATTTTTAGAGGATCGAATCACAAGTCTTTAGAGGTATGCCACTTTGGAATCGGATTAAATTTGGTAAAGTTATGGACTATCGAAGTCCAATTTTGGGTCACTCTATTTCAAGTCATCGGAAAATTAGAAATAACTGACATGAAAATGGGTCAAAAATTTGATCAACGTTAAATTGAAAATTTTGAATGCAGATTTTTAGAGTATCGAATCACAAGTCTTAAGAGGTATGCCACTTTGGAATCGGATTAAATTTGGTAAAGTTATAGACTCTCGAAGTCCAATTTTGGGTCACTCTATTACAAGTCATCGGAAAATTAGAAATAACTGACATGAAAATGGGTCAAAAATTTAATCAACGTTAAATTGAAAATTTTAAATGTAGATTTTTGGAGGATCGAATCACAAGTCTTTAGAGGTATGTCACTTTGGAATCGGATTAAATTTGGTAAAGTTATGGACACTCGAAATCCAATTTTGGGTCACTATATTACAAGTCATCGGAAAATTAGAAATATCTGACATGAAAATGGGGCAAGAATTTGTTCAACGTTAAATTGAAAAACGAATGCTCAAAAATACTGTAAAATGAGTGTACGTATTATGTAGCATACTTTTACATACGCTGAACAAGTGTTGCATACTCTCGCGCTTTTGTATTAATACATTACAGTGGTGCGCCTCAAGTGCTAACTGACATAAGCTTGTTGCTTGGAAAAAGCTTAACTTTAATAGTCAGCTACACCAAAGTCGCCGCTAGGGGGCGTGCGATTGCTTGTGTCTGCGGCCACGCGTCGTATGAGTAATGCAGTGATTTTGCGAGCGGGTGCAGCGGAAAGTACACCGGCATGCGACGGCAGTGCGACCTACGGCAACGGTAGCCAGTTAGCCACCCAGACAGTGTGACTATGACTGGCCAACGGCCGTTTGGTCAAGCTCTTTAATGAGTTAATTAAACCAACCGCGGACTGCATTCATCGAATGCCGCGGGCATGAATAACGCGATAAGATGCGCGCCCTCGATAAGGAATGCGGGCAGCGGACGTGCTGATTCCTGCGTGGAGTGCAAACGGAAACCCATTGACCGATCCGATCCGATTCGATCCTATGCCTCTTGGCGTTTTGAAGGGGCGCCACTCCACACAAAACCCCATTTAGTTGGGTTAAACGGACTCAATCGGGCAAGCGGACGAGTGTCACAAGTGGCCAGCTAATTGGGCCATAAAGGGGTAGATATGGCCAATATAATTGCCCGATAGCCAGCTTCCGATCGGAAGTGACGAAAGCCCTCGGGAAACTCAATGGGGAGCGATCGGTTGTGCAATCAATGGTGGAAATATGGCTTATAATATCACTAAAACTTACGGCCCTTAAAAGGGAATATAGAGTTAGAGTTTAAAGCATTTTCGACCTAATAATGTTTATATATAAATTGTATTATATATCAGTATTGCCGTCCTTCATTACCTTTAGAAATATTTCATAGACTTTATTCTATTACAGGTGGTATACAAATCTGAACTATTGCTGTCTTTGGCTGAATTCGTTTGCTTTATTTTAAGACTCCAGCAATACGACTATAATTTTATAAGAATCGCATTTTTACTGGCAAATTAGGTGAAACTCTTCGTTAACTGAAAGTGTATAAACATGTCAACAGGCCGAAGGTAGCTTTCCCTTTTACCCTTACTCGAATCAAACGGGGGTCAATTATTGGATAGCCCATTAAGTCATAAATGAGTAGATAATGATTATCTCACCCGATAAGCTGCCTATGATCGGAAGTATAGGCTTACAATAGCAAAATGTATAAGGGGATTTTGTCAACTTGTATTTCCCAACAGTAAGTACACAGCTGAGGAATTAAAATTCGATGTGGAGTAAAATCCATCTAAGACCACACCAAATAAATATTCAGGAACGTTTGTCTTTTCTAAGTTTATTTTGCACAAACTTACAACTAAGCACAAGGATGTCTGTACAATACTTCGCTTCGTTTTCATTCACAATCGTTTTTTTCACATTCACTAAGAACTATTCAAAAAAAGTACTTAAAATAAATCACAGTAGATTTAAGCATTTTTTTGTTTGTGGCTGGTTTTTTGTTGGTTTTTGTTGGCGAACTTCTACCGCCGTTCACAAATAAATAGGTATAAATACAATATTGATACAAATAATAAATAAATAAATTACTACACATAGAGAAAAAAAAGTGGGCATATCCTAAATGGGAAATAAATAGTCGAGGTGGCGCTGGTCCAGATGGGAAATGGTTTGCATTGGATTGGATTGGCAACTGGAATGGAATGATGCTCTAATGCTCAATGTTCAATGCTCAATGTTCAATACTCAATACTCAATACTCAATAAATAAATAAATACTAGTAGTACGTGTCTAAATGGCATTCGACAAAAATTCTTCGTTCTCTCCCGCTCTGTTCGTCGGGTGGTCCTCTATTTGGCTTTCAAGCTGTGGAGCTGTAATACTGGAAGGGCGTGATCTCGGCCTGGTGGACTCCACCTAGCACTCGGCGGACCCGCATTCGGAGCCGGAGTTCAGTCCGGCCCCGTTGGAGGAGTTGGAGCCCAGGTCGAGCATTTCGGAGCTGCCCGCCCGCAGGCCGCTCGCCCCCGCTCCCCCTCCCGCTCGGTGGGCCGCCGGGTGGCGCCGCTCGCCGCTGTTGCGCTTGGGCCGGCGCAGGGCTCGGTGCAGCGTCTTCCACACGTTGTCCAGGTACTGGAAGTACAGCTCCTTGCTGACCTTCAGGTCCCGCTGGTCCGCCTCCGCCGAACCGTCGGCGGGGGTGTGGAAGTTGAGCCGCTCCTCCATCGCCTGGCGACTCACACGGCTCAGCTTCGCCCCGTTGCTGTTCGGATAGGAGGCGTTGATGGTCGACTCGATCTCGCAGAGCATGGACCTGGCGCTGACCAGCAGGTCGTGCAGCTCCCGGGTGACCGCCTCGTTGAGGCTCTTCTGCTGATCCTTGCGGAACTTGTACTGCGCCCGTCCCAGATACGAGAAGCTGCCCACGAAGGTCTGCATGTGGCGGTACCAGGTCTTGAGCTTCACCTGCAGAGGAGAGATAAGACGTTCCTTAGTCGCTTGCTTGGCATGGTTGGATGCTCTGGGAAGGGCATGCAAATGAGGCGGACATGGCCCGGACATGGCGAAACTGGTCTGCGCCGCCCAGGGCGGAGCAGGTCCGCTTCGCTCTGTCTCAGAGTCAGCCTCATTCTCAGCCTCCTCAGACTCATCGTCACTCAAGATCCAACACTTACCGCACTCGTGGGCTTCGTCATGTTCGGCAGGAACTTGTACTCGCGCTGAAAGTGCTGGTGGTTGCCGTACTCCAGCGTGGCGCGGTGGGTAATGTCTTGGTACTCGCTCATCGTGATGTTCCGCAGGTTTTCGAGGTGCTGCAAGGGGCAGAAGAGGGGCAACGATGAGTAATGCATCTTCGCGGAGTGACAAAATGATCTTTCTGGTTCAATTTTCTGCTAAATTAGCTATCGAAGCCATTAAATCCACCCACGACTATTTGTATTTGGGAAATGGATAAGCTCTATTCATCATTTCTTCATAAATATGCCAACATATTTACTCATGTTGATATCATTTTGAGAAAATGAAACCCAATTTCTTGGTATGTGACTGGCTGGCTTTCGTCTTAAGACCAAATTTCAGGGACTATATTCACCTTGCGCTTGATCACCCGTCCTTGGCTCGCACTGCTGTCGCCGAGGCTCTCGTCCGGCGTGTATGTTCCGCCGCAGGGATTCTCCCACTCGGGAACGTCCGGCTTGCTGCCGGCGAAGAGTCGCAGGTTGTGGCTGCGGGCGTGCCGCGTCCTCTGGCGGCGCATCTCCCTCTTGGCGGCCCGAATGGCCGCCTGGGCGATCTCCTCGTAGCTGCTCTCGCTGAGACTGAGATCGCTGTCGTAGCTGCCCTCGCCGAAGCTCTCGGACAGGCCGTGGTACGGATCGGCATTGAAGGCGGGCAGGACACCGCCCGATGAAGAGGAGGAGGAGGAGGAGGAGGACGAGGCCGACCTTCCGGCCGAGTTGTCCTCGTCGTAGGCATAGTCCAATGCCACCTGGTCGCGCAGGTGGCGTGCCTGTGTCTGTGGCACCACCGCGGCCAGGATCATGATGACCAGCAGAAGCTGCCGGCTGTGGCAGCTCCACTGACCACTGCTGTGTTGCCTGCTGCTGCTGCTGCTGCTGCTGCTGCTATCGCTGCTGCTGCTTTGGCTTTGTTCGCTGACTGCAAAGAGAGGCAGAGGAGAATGCGTTAGTGGGGGGGGGTTGTTGGACGTTGTTGACCATGATGGAGCAGGGAAAATGGAAACCCCGGGCGTACCGTTTAAGGTAAAGGCTGGCATTGGTCCGGTAGGTAGCACGCACTCGCGTCTAAACACTAACACTAACACTAACTGGTGGTTGCTGCTTGGCTAACTTGGCTAGCTGGCTGGCCAACTATCACAATCGGTTAACTGCGACGAGCTGCGGTCTCTCCTGCTCGACGGCTGCTGGCTAAGTGACTGCCGCTCCAGCAGTGCTTCAAAATTTTAAGCCGTCAGCAGTCGTCCGTCGTCCGTCGTCCGCCGTCCGCCGTCCGTCGCTCACGCACTCCGCCACTCGAGTCAGTCTCAGTCTCAGTCTCAATCTCGGAATCCCAATCGATCGAGAGAGAGTGAGTGAGTGCAATTACAGCAGCCTGGCGATCGGGCAATTTGAGCAATTTTCGAAATTGTTTTGAGCATTTGTCATGCTCGGGCATTGCCAATCGCTCTCGCCAGTCGCTCTCGCCGGCGGCCGCCTCTCCACTTTTGGCTGAATTTCACCAGAAATATTACTCATAGGTATTTGGGTTTTTCGCCACCAGACAGTGTGCCAGACGTCAACGGAGGCTGCTCTAAACGGTGACGTAGCGCAGTCGGCCGGCCAAAAATCGCCCGCCACCCAGGCAGCACGCTCGACTTTTGAATAATTGAAATTCCCACTCAAGCGTCCAGTTGTTCAGTTGTTCAGCCGTTCAGCCGTTTAGCCATTCAGCCGCTCTCGACCAATAGCCAGCCGCTGGAAGTCGATGTTGCCGTAGGTCAGCGACTTGATAACGCTGCGCCGACTGCTCTGCCAGCTGCCAACTGCTCGGCCGGCTGCTCAGCCGACTTCGATAAGGCACGTGCTGCCCGGCTAGTTGTTGTTGTTGCGATCAGCTGCTGGCCAAGGCCATAATCACTAATTGGCCGGTAATCGAGATATTGGAAAGTTCTGGTTACGAGCCGACGCCACCGCAATCCGATGATTAATACCCGTGATAGTGCTTTACGATCTCACTGGGCCAGCGAAAGTGGCACGCCTCCCACTTCCCGCCTCCCGCTTCCCTGTTCCCAGTTCCCGGCAGGAACCCAAAACTCATGTGAGCCGATCGGCGATTAGATCGCAGCTGGAGAGGATTGCACGCGATCGATTGGCGTGGTCATGTGAGGAATCCAGTGCGATAGCATAAGCGCAGTGAATCAAATGCGGACGGAACTTATCGGAGCTATAAATATTTGTGGGAGGAAAAATTTGGAGTATTGGCCAAAAGGAATGGCAAAGGAAAAGTTGACTGATTCACTGGGTTCAATAACCTATCTGGAAGCACAATAGTACCTAAAGGATAACTGATTGTTTATCTCACTTCAACGATAGTGTTTAAATACAAAACTTAGGAAGATGTTTTTTTGGTATTTATCAAAGCTTTTATTGAACCCGCTTTGGAGGTAAGTAAGTGGCCCTCACTGGGTCGCTAATGGATCGCACCTCCACCTTCCACATTCCACCTCGCCAACTACTAGCCACTAGCATTGGCATTAGCGTCGAAGCCGATTATTAACAGTTCGATCACTCGCCGTCCGTACGGGGATTCACCCCAGTGCCAGAAGACACTAGCACACACACACGCAGCATTTATCATGGGAACCGATCGAAGTTATTCCGTAATGGGGTAGCCGGGGCCAGCCAGCAAATCATCTTTTTATAAACAATTGCGAAAGACAGGGAAAGTTATCTGCTTTTGGGGCTGGGAAAGCGGTGATCTAATTGAACCGAACCAGAATGCCCCAAAAAAACCAAAACAAATACCCAAAAAACAACGAGTCAGACTTTGCACCCCCTACTTACTGTGATGTCGCATTGTTGGGGCTGGATCACGTTCTATTTTGGCACTCTCCATCGAGGAATACTGTGTGTGGCTTAATACTGGGTTAATACTGTGGATTAGGTGTAGGTGTAGCTGTAGCTGTTCACTGGGGAGATCAGTCTCGGACCGGAGTTGGTTGTACGGTGTGATTGTGTCGCGGATTGTGTCGGGTTCACAGGCCGGGACAATTAGCATTGGCGTGTGTCTAAGCGAAACTGATTCATGGTCTCGGCCCGTCGCATAATTTTATATTTATACGAAAATCGCCGTCCGCCTGTGAGGCAGTCCCAGTCGCAGTCGCTGCCTCGGTCGCCGCCGCTGCCTCAGTCGCCGCCACCGGCGAGCTCCTCCGTCTCCGGTACTGCTTCTGCTGCCGCTTCTGCTGCCGCTGCTGCTGCCGCTGCTGCTGCTGCCGCTCCTGCTATCTCCCAGGCAGAGCGGCGCAGTCGACGCCGGCGTGGACGTCAATGAAGTCAACGAAGTGCCGTCGTGCGAAAGAATCGGAATCGGAATCGAAATGGGAGTCAGAAGTGCGCGCCACGCTTATAATTATTATTGGATTGGATTTGATGATTGCCCAAGCAGCGGCAGAGCTCCAACCCCCCCCACACACACCCCACCATCGTTCACACATTTATTTTTATATTTGCACTTCGTATTTACTTTTCATCAATTACGTACGAGTAGTTGGGGTCCGTTAGGCGTTGGTCCACCACCCCACCCGAAGTGAACCCTCCGCCAGGGGCTCCCACACAACTCTTTGCCAGGGGATTTTTCTTGGAAGCGAGCTGGTGTGCGTACGTACATGTGTCTCATTATGTACACCTTCACTTTGTTGTCTGCCATTGAGGTTTTTTGTTTGCGTCACAACACACAACACACAACTCCCTCCTCCGCCCGAGCGGTGGTGGGCGTGGCATAGTTAGTTTTTTTTTTTTTTCGACGGTCTCAATGCGAAATTAATTGCATTGATTGGGGACCGGGTTCAAAAATCATGTTTTTCAACAAGGGGGATTTTTTGGTCTGCGGCCAAGAGGCCATGGGAAATCTTGGGCGCGACAATGGAGAGATCTCTGGGTCGATCATCCACATGTGCCACATGTATGGCTGCCCCCTCGTCAGTCCCACGTCAGAATTACTCTTCCACAAGATCATCATATGTGGCCAAAACAGGTTGACTTGGGCACCAGAAGTCAACAGCTTTGGTACTAAATAGGCTAATAAGGCCGACGGATTAAAATTAACTAGACTTAATTTGGTTCAACACAGATAACAATCGATATTTGTACTTATGCCAACTCGACTTCAAACTAGGATATTTTACACACATTCAATTTGTTTATTTTATTGGCTTTATTCCGCGTGATACAAGTCTTAAAATGATTTTTAATCCTTTTTGATATTTCCGTACACCTCTTTTGGATTTGGTCGTCTTACTTCTAACCCAATTGTCACAGGTACAGGTGATCGTACTTAAATCTATGAAATTGGTGACACAAGGAGTAAGTTGCAAGGACTGTGATTTAAGTCCATTCAACATTCAACACTCGCAAGGCCAGCGAGCAAGCACAGTCACGATTTCACTGCGGAACTTTCCATTGACCGCGAAGAGCCCGACCAAATCTGATCGGTAATTAGATCATCTGCCCAAAGCAATGCCAACTGACGCACATTGGCCAACCGGACAACGGGCCAACGAACTGGGAATGGACTCTTCCGTGACTCTGCGATAGCTTTATAGTCCAGTTTCTTGGCCTGCTCCAGTATCTCGACAAGATCGCCGCTCTGATTTACGATCGTCGGATCCTCTAATGGTCTTTCCACCCGCTTCCCTGATAAATTCCCAGCTACCTCATACGTGATATCACGATCCCCAAACGGGGTGAACTTTGCACCCAAACAACACTCATCCCTCGTGTTAAAATCGATTGCACGGCTGAAAATCAATGCATGACTTGCCGACGTCTTCAAATATTTGGCCAACTTTTTGGGGGTCTTTAGTGCGTAAATGACGTGCCGTTTTGTGTTTATTTCTATTTTAGACTGATAAGGTAGCGTGGAAAAATTGTATAGTCACAGTGGGATGGCATCGGACAGAATCAAAGCAAAGCCATCCCCGAATGTTGATCGATGGGTTGGTGGGCCTTTTCCGGCTGTTGCGACCCACTGTGGCCTAATTGGCCGAATTGTCTCCCAAAACGGGAGCTAATTACATCGAAGGGGAGGCACTTAAAGTTTTGATTCAGTGTGCCGGTTAACAGTAATTGAGCCAACTTTTCCACTGAACTCTTATCGCCACGCGTCGTCAGAGGCTGAACTTTGAGGCGTCGTCGGCCGGGGAATTCACCTCGCAGCCAATTGTCTTCGATGGGTGTTGACTAATTCCGTTCCATGAATGAATAATCAAGACTGGCGCCGCCCCCGCCAACCCCAGATAACCAGATACCCAGATACTCGCCACCACTCCACGGCAGTGGGTCGATGGATATGCGAGGAATCCACTCACATCCACTGGACACATGAATGGGCTGACTCACCGCACTTCTTCAGCCGGAGGTCGCTCTTCGCACAGGGGACAATTGAGTTACTAGATCAATCAATGGGGATACTACTGGTGTATTGTATCTTTCGCACTGATACCCAGATAATGACGGCAGAGTCAAGAATTTAATCAGTCTACCGTTGAAGCTTGAAGTTCCACAACTTGTATTTAGTTGTCATGTCAGTGATAAAAATAGCAGTAATGGTAATGGCATTTAATAAATAGATTCCCTTACCGTATTTCAGCCAGCCAATAAAAGAAATTGGGGCTGCACCTCAGCTTAAGTTAAAAATAATAAATCATAATATAAATTCATTAAGAGATCCATATTAATAAGCTTAATTATATATTAAGTTTAATAAGCGGACTTTACCTATCTCAGTTGGTCCCACTATGGTTTTTCATTTTATAGGGATTCCTATTTAGGCATTAAGAGTGCTAGTAACTAGGACCTTCCACTGGGCAAGTGCAATTATCGTTGCTTATTTTGGATTATCCCCCTGCGATTTCCCCCATACATCCCCCACCAGCGCACCCAATTAACCCAATCGGCTCAGTCCAGCTTAGCACCTGGCGCTAAAATTAGCCACTGGCATTTGCGCTCCGCTGACGTAGGTGTCATGTTCTGTGACGTTGGCGAGCCCCCCATACAA